TTTCCAGACGTCGATTCCGATCATTTCTAGGGACTTAAACATATAATATGAGAAAAAAAGAGCAACAGTAACAGAAAAAGAAGTGCTTTAAAACTGCAAGAAGCTGCTGGACATAGAAGCATATTATGATGGAGTATCTGCGGCTAAAGAACTGAAAGGCAAACAGGACGGTGACGCATCTGAACGCAGATTACCCATAGAGGGCTTTACATTTGTTTGGACTGAGTCATTTTACCAAAGTCATCATGACTGACAAACCAAAAGCCACATCAGACAAAACAGGAGTGACAGAAAGCATACAGACATGCAGGAATCAGATCTGGATAGGGGCCAAATCCAACATCTGACATCACCACAACTACTGAGCATCATCTATAAGGCACAGGCATGAGAGACTAAAAAGGAAGGATAACAAAGAAAAGATATATCAGGGTTCAGTATAGCTTTTTGGTTATGTGCAATCATTGGATATATTATTTTATAAAATATGAGCCATATGAACATTTGCTTTTCTCAGCACATAAATCTGCAACAACACATTCAGGAAGCAACATGAATCATGGCTTTAACAAGGCTGACATCGAAAGGAGAGAAAAATGAAAGCAGGGGAAAAAAAAAAAAAAAAAAGAGGGAAACAGTAACGTGGGAGCAAAGGCAAAAGAGGAACAAGCAAGCAGCATGAGCAGTCTGTAGGAATAGCTCTAGCTGCTCCAAATGTATGCTGATGAGTCACAGAGCAGGAGGCCCATAATGTGATGGAGATGGATCTGACAAAGATCTGCTCACAACACCAAAACCAACCACTCTGTGGATTTAATCATGCCTCAGCGCATTTGTGCTTAAGAATATGTGCGTCAAAGTGAAAAGAAAAAAGACTAGAGGAGAAACATAAATGTTTAATGCTTTAAAAAATATATACGGTTTCTATCCCTAGCAACCCCTTTTGCATAGTGCATCTTGGTTAGCACTTGAGGGTTGGAGATGATGTGGATGGTTTTGTTTTTACCTCTTAGCGCCGAGAGGTTTATGATCACATTCCTCCATTTTTAATCAAAGTAACAGCCAATTCTCCAAAGCAGATCCAACATTAAATACGGTCAGTTTAAGCCATCACACTTTCATCTAATTTAATACGTACACAACCTAACGCAATAGCTCTGATGAAAGTGCATCTTTGATGTGAAATATCTCTGGCAAACCCAGATTATGCACTTAATCCTTTTGAAAGTAGTAGGACCAATATTTAGAAATATAGATTCCATATAGTGCCTTACAAAAACATCCATGGAGTTTCACATCTTGTCAACGCAAATGCGATACTAAAATAGTATTTTACCAACACTTACTAATATAAATGTAAAGTAGAATTCAAATTGTACATTTTTGTGCACTGTGCATACATCTACAACTTCTCTTTAGAGAAAAACTCTGTGTTTTTTACTATCTCAGAACAAATATAGTGGTTTGAAGGCCAACACGGATGGATACCTAAGGATACAGGCAAGCAATGGTTATTGGTGAGACACAGCAGAGGCTATTTGTAACTCTGAAGGAGATGCAGTGCTCAGCTGGGAGTAATCTGTTGGAAGGAAAACCATTAACCACAAATTTGACCTAAACATCCCCTCATAAAATACAACTGGACCATGAACCTCTGTGGTAGCAGTATTATGGTGCTACCCACAACAATAATAAAGCTTGTCAGAGATAATGGCAAGATGCTTGGGGTAAACACTGAGCTGTCCTCAAAATAAACTTGTTAGAGACTGGAGGGATGTCTTCTGCAAGACAACGGTGACGAAAATACAAAGAGGGTTATGGTGGAATAGTCTGAAAGTGGACCAAAAAAAGTCCAAGCCTGAATCAAACTAAATCTATAGAAAGATGCCTGGTTTATTCAGGAATTCCAAAATAAATTCACTGGAATAAAGTGGTAAAGTCTTACACCTAAAGATTTGTTGCTGCAATTGCAAAAAAAGAGATGGTTCAAAACTTCTCAGGTCTTCAGTTGCCATCAATCATATTAATTTAACTTCAAAATCTTTCACAAAATATGTCTATTCAATCAAATCACCAATAAAAGGCTCTTTAAACATTCCCCTAATCACCCACCTAGTTCACCGACTAAACAGCAACCAATTACTAAATTCACTGTTAATTATCTTATCAAGATAATTTTATCTAAATGGGGGAAAAAAAAGACCGTTATGGTAAAAGGTTGCTTTGAAATCTCATATTAAATGCCGGTACTCTAATACTAGTTTGACAAAAGAATAGTAAGGAAAACAAGTAGGACTGATGGGAACAAAAAAAGGATATTAGCAGATTTTTATTCTTCTTGTCTTGCATTGGTAAATAACAGCTGTAGTCTTTCTATCAATCAGGTGTGACGAAGCTGAGACTTTTGACTATCTGGTAGGCTGAGTCGTTTAACTCAAATGAGCAGAATGAAACGTAATGAAGCACAACCAAATATTACGTAAGCATTACAATCAGCTTTGAACCAACTCAGACCTAATGCAACACACACCCATTTCTATTCAAAGCCAAAGGCAATAATGGTTTCAGGCCACACAGTGATTTCTTTTCAATGATGAACATATCCACAAATCTGTAGAATGAAAGTTTTAGGTTTACTCAGAGACCAAGAAAATTAAACCTTTAGGTTTCCAGTGAACACGTTACCAAAGCAGAGTTCTGACCGCACACAGAGCAGGTGACAGATCAGCTCTTAAACGTTGCATTGGAATTGATTTCAACTGTGGGTAGAGTATAAGAGAAGCTTTAAATTAATTTTTGGTGAAAAACAAAATTATTTCTGAAAATGTGTAAAAGCAGAGTAAAATAAAGAGAAAAGCTCCTGAAATATTCTTACCATGAAACTATTGAGAATGCAGCTCTAAATTTGAGCCGCTTTTCATTTGTGCCATTGTTGGAGGATGAATAAGCAGTGAGCAATGCAGCTTTATGCTCGTCTTTTTGAAAACAGACAGTAATCATACAAAATCATAACACTTCCTGCTACTTCAATCTACTGCTCTCACTTTTGGATCAAAATGGAGATCCAGATTTAGTGTATGCATTGATAGGAAAATACTGGAGCTGGGAACTCATGGATGTAGTAAATTAATCCCTGTGTGGAGCACGACTGCTGCTCTGCATGTCACACCAGCTAGGAGGCTCTGCAAAAGCATGAGGTAAAAGACCTCTGATTTTATCCCCAAAATGGAATTCAATGAGACCAGACTTCAACCTCCTCCTTTAAGACGTTGCTTCAAAAACACATCCTGAGATGAATTAATAATCACACGCATAACCACAACCAGAAATAAATAAATATTTTATTTTCCTAAGGAAGGTTCTCTTGCCGGTCGTAATTTGTAGGCGGGTATAGAGTTCCTTTCATTCATTAAAAGCCTTAAGAAAAAAAAATCCTTAAATTGTAATGATATATATACTTAAACATTTTATAAATAAAAATTTTAGCACTAGCAAATAAAAGTTTTGCTTTTCTGATTTGAATGATAGAAATTATAGCACAATGTTTAGCTCCAAAGGCTTGATTGGGGTGTGGATAGTAGAGTACCTTTAATAAGAGCATTTCATTTATGAGCCATTTTAAGTTACTGTATAGCAAAAAATATTTAAAGAAAAATACATGGAACTTCTCTTCTGATTCCTCTAAGCAACATACCCAGAGCGTATTACTGAAATGTTTGTCTTTTAAATTATATGACATTTTAAATAAACCAGATAGTCTGTTTATATTTTCAAGTATCTGTTAACCAAATATATACGGGCCTTATAGATGACCATATCTTAATTTAGCCTACTTATTATCGCTGAAACCCTACAGTGGAAGATTTTAATTTAATTATAATACACAAAATGCATACTGTATTTTGTTTTTTTTTATACAAGCTGAATTTCTTTATCTTTTAGTCTTTAAAATATCTTGAAATTAAGCCTTTTTCTAAGAGAATCTAGGGTCAGAATCTAAACAGCTGCTAAACAGCTACTGATCCAGAAGCAGCATGAAAGGGTTTAAAAAACATAATCAACAACATTCCACTATCATCCAAGTGCAAAAAAAGTCCACCATCACTGGTTAAATCCATCACTTTGAGCTACGTCATCATACAATCCGTTAGGGACTAGTGCTAAAGCATCACAAGGCCCTGCTGTTTCCTTACAACGATGCAGACAGATGGGATTACACTCCTGAAGTTTGAAGATGACACCACTGTTATTGGCCCCATTACCGACAATTACAGGTCCGCATGCAGACGTGAGTTGGATCGGCTGGTCCACTAGTGTGGTAAAAACCATCTGGAGCTGTTGTGAGCTTCATCAGCAACATTATCCATGTTGTTTACCTCCAATGCCTTTGACCTACTCTTTTTCAGGACATGAATAGTTCGTCGAAAAACAAAGACCTTAAAAAGCTGCTGGTCATCTTCTACAGTGCAATTCTTCAGCCAGCACCAGTGCTCATCCATCACTGTATCGTTTAGCTTATCCACAAAACAACAGGTTTGCACTGCAACAACCACTTAGGTCTGCTGAGAGGATCATTAGGGGCTGACCATTCTCTGACCAAAGCTTGTGGATGTCTAGTTGGGTCAACAAAAGGACAGCTATCACCCACCTGAACTGTTTAGACTTATAAAGGAATAATTTCCCAAAGATTTTAGTTTTCTAAGACATCTCTTAATGAATAAAATGCAAATTTACAAAATAAATGCACTTTTTATGTAATTTTTAAGAATGGCTACTTTGAATTGGTCTTATCTCACATTTTATTCAGATTTTTTTAAACTGTTGAGCCATCTGGTGCAAATATCTGACGCATTTCTTCTGCTTATATTGCTTTTCACCTTTTTTGTTTTACTTTCAGTAAAGAGGCACTGGGGAAGGAAGGCAATCCATGGCTTATGCATCTGCTCTACCTGCATTATGTCAGTGAAGATGGGGGGGGGGGGGGGGCAGCATCAACTCACCAGATCTGTCCATCCTGCATCACTCTGAAGCACCTGATTTATTACAACGACATAAAAACGTACAACTTATAAGAGAAGCACACTTCTGTTGCAATGCAATGATGCACAATAAATCACCAGAATTAAAGCAATTATTGAATTTCAAATAAAAACTATAAAGAGAAGAGAAATGGTGATGAAGTGTAATCGCGTTTTCGATGGCTGCAGGGAAGCTGTGGTCCACGCAGACCTGAGGGAGAACTCCACACCACTCGTGTTTGAGGAAGAGGAAGGAGGGGGGGGCACAATGGGTTCATATTTGGTGAGGTAATGGCAGCTTGTCGCCACAATTGTTCCCTTTTACGTTTAATTAACCACTAAACAACACCGTTCAGCCAAATCTCAGGTGTAGCGCCCAAAGACAGGCTGCAGTTTTTTAAGTTCCAATGTGGCAAACAATCAACCGGTCCTTGCAGTTCAGACCCACAGCAGCTAACTCACCGGCGGCTAACCGCAGAGCTAGCTACTTGAGCCGTTGGACCGTAATTTCGTTCAGCTGTGTATGTGCTTCACGAGGGACACCACGGTTTCTACGTGCCAAAAAATAAATATATATATATATATATACCCCCTTTCATTTTCGTGTCAAACGGTGCAGTTCTTGTGTGTTTTATGTTTTTACCTTGCGTCTCCTGGTCTCAGCAGTGCCACTCCAGACAAAGCATTGGTATATGACTCGGAGGTTTTGTTTCCAATTATCCACCTTATAACCGTTCACATGGGAGCACCCGGCCGGACTCATGACAGACAAAACATTCAGGAAGGAGTTTGAGGTGACAATGAAGAGTCTCCTGGGTTAATCACTCAGCTAGGCTACCTAGCACAACTGTCTGTGTCCAGAAAACGTTTCCGTTTGGAAACGGGACAATCGGTGTAGTATCCAAAAATGCTCCCCGGGTATCTGATAAACTCAGTCGTTAATGGCTAACCCTGAATCAGTTCATGTAGCCATCTAGCAGTGCTCTGAGCCGAGTGAAACCCTTTACTCTCCTTGCTCTTTTGACAGTTATGTTTCCCTTTTACGTTAGCCCCACTTCCACTCTCACGATTAGTTAGCGTGCTAACTCTCAACTACGGCTTCACTATACCCGCCCATGTGGATCATGATTTGTCAACACAAAGAGGTTACGTCATTACGTAGGTTCGATACACGTTGGGTGCGTTGAGTTTTCTGTACAGTGCGTGCCGTCTTTCGAGTTGACATTTTTATCAATGACGCTGTCACAGGGGGGGCATTACACACCACCCATTCAGGATAACCGGGGGGATAAGGGTGATCCGGGATTTGTAACAGACTTATTCTTGAATGGTGTAAAGTACCTCGATGAGGATGAGAGTTTACTCCATCCAAATTAAGAATCCTCTGGAGAACCAGGGGTTATCCCATTGAGATATCAAGGTGACGGTTGTATTTCAGATTTTTCTTAAGAGTAATTTTTTTCTTTTTTTTACTTAACCCTCAAAAATCCTATTGTGATTGTGCAAAGCCAATCTTCACTCTTCCAGAAAAAAATAATAATAATAAAAAAGAAAAAAATAATGATTTTCTCTGCATTTTTTATTTATGTTATTTATGCTATATTTATGTTATATGTTTACTATTTACTAATTGTTGGTATTTTTATTTTTCCCCAAACAAACTTGATTTACAATTACAACATAAATGCTTTTTTTTTTTTTTTGCCATTTCTTGTGTTATTTGTATTTAATTTTTTTTTTAGAGCTTCTGATGTTACAGGATAAAAGTGGAATATACATAGCTTAAATAAGAGTAATGTATTCATTTGTTTGTTGCATCATTCATTTGCTTTCTAAAGATTTACATTAATAAACAATTGAAAAAGCAGATAGTCCTTTGATTTATTCATTTATTTTGCTAGATTTGTATAACTGACCTTTGGTAGCAAAATGGCCATTTCTACCAATGTATTTTGTATTTTTATCATATTAATTTAATTATACTTTTCTTTAACTTATTAGTGTTTCCAAATTATTGTTATTAATGCATTAAATAGTAGTCATTTAATATCGGTTGTTACAAAATAGTTTATGATGGAACTAAACAAGTAAAACTAAAACAAATTCTCACTGTACTCGAAGCTATAAACTTGTTTACCTGTTTGTTTGTTGTGTTTGTTTTGCTTTATTGACGATATACAGTTAAAATATGATATGAAAATTCTGTTCACTGGAAAAAGACAGAGTTTATAAAATATGCACCCTTAAAGAGACCACCACTCACAGGTCTGCCACATAGTCCACCCTCCACACCTTTCTGTCTGATTAATGAAATTCACCCAGCTTTTAAAGAATATCTCCTTACTGAGATCTAACTGGGTATGATGGTGGTTAATTTTTTAAAAACTGGAGATCCTTTTTTTCATTGAGGAAAAGCTGAACATTAACAAGCACTTTGTACTGAAAAATATTATCTGATTAATAATTCACTCTTTTATTGATATCTAAAACAATGGGTAAAAATTAGACAGTCAGTTATAATGAAACTCATCAAAGAATCCTCATACCCTTTTGAATATAGGACTATTACATTTCTTTAAGCCTGCCACCTAGTGGGAGTTAGCTGTAAATTAAATATTATGGGGCAAAAATTACCACCTCTTTTATAATTCTCTCAGTTCAATCAAATTTTTAGAAAGTATTATATATCTTCATAAAAAAAAAAAACTTGAATAAAGCCTACACTGACCATAACCCTAAAGTGTATTATGGTAAGGATGTGACTAACAGCTGAGTAGCAGGTTTAAACTTGAGTAATTAAACGTAAAGCCCAAAATTATTTTATAATTTACACTTTAACTGCAATAAAGACACTCAGAGTAGAATGGTGTTTATAGTTTACGTGACGTTTTAGATTCATGTTGATCCACAAGGGAATATGAAAGATTGTAGTGATTTAAATAAAGTTTATGTAATGTAATAACAACATTTGTCCATCCTTTTAAATTAAGGTTATGTCAAATTACGGCAAAGAAAAGAAAAGAGAAGACAATAAAAGAAAAAAAAATAAATTGATATATTTTGTGGTGTTATATCCATTTTATTTCACTTGGGGGCGGTGTAGGTCAAAATTTTGAACTGTCGTGGGAACTAACCTCTTATACTCAATGAATATTGTATAAAAATGGCTGGCAATGCAACAACAAGCTAAAAAGCAGTTTTGATTCTGCTTTGACAAATTTCTTATTTTATGCAACTTTTAAATCACTGGACAACTCATGTCTACATTGATATAGGTTACTAATTGTCCATAATAATCCTACAAAACTGCAAACCAAAAAGATTTACATTTCAAACAAATCAAACCTAATTAAATAAGTTTTGTCATCAATCCTAGTATCTATCTCAATGCATTTTTATATTGTTTAGATTTTCTGGAGTTAGATTCATGTCTTTCAAACAATGTTTGTTGTGAAGGAAACATTCAGGTAAGTCTTTACTGGGTGTTTTTTAAATGTGTAAGAGGAAACCAGGGTGTTAGGCGAACGTGGAATGAATAAGAAAACCTGATGAATCTTCTATGCAATGTTTTTCATTGTGATTTTCCAGGAAGGAGCAGAGACTAAAACCCTCAAGTCAATACGTTTTGCTTGCAAAAACACAGCAGCGAAATGGACTCTGGAATAATATAGCCCTGCCCTGATTGGACAGAGACAATTTGAGTATTTTTTTGGGGGATAGATTTTCTTCAGAAACTGGTGAATATTTCTTATAAACAATGTCTTTCCTTAAAAAACAAAAGCAGACCATGTTTTTTTGTTCATTTTTGTTCATAAATGTGTCTAAAATTAAGTGAAACATAAGATAAAGCAGCACATGTCATACATGTTTGACTCTATGTGGAACATAGAACACATTTCAAGACTAAAATCAAAAGTTTCTGTATCGGAAAATGCTTTCAAGTGAGTTCATAACAGCTTAAACTTCTCACTTATTATCACAAACAGTTACAAACTTCAATATTTAATTGAGATTTTATGTGAACCAACAATTTATTAATGTCAACATAGAATGGTTCATTCAAATGCTTGGATTTTATTTGGTATCAGATTTTACTCGTGTTTGTCCTACGTACGCTATATCAGCTATAATTGGTGTGACATTATATGAATAAATGACATCAAATTAACAGATTTTCTTCCAGNAAATTGATATATTTTGTGGTGTTATATCCATTTTATTTCACTTGGGGGCGGTGTAGGTCAAAATTTTGAACTGTCGTGGGAACTAACCTCTTATACTCAATGAATATTGTATAAAAATGGCTGGCAATGCAACAACAAGCTAAAAAGCAGTTTTGATTCTGCTTTGACAAATTTCTTATTTTATGCAACTTTTAAATCACTGGACAACTCATGTCTACATTGATATAGGTTACTAATTGTCCATAATAATCCTACAAAACTGCAAACCAAAAAGATTTACATTTCAAACAAATCAAACCTAATTAAATAAGTTTTGTCATCAATCCTAGTATCTATCTCAATGCATTTTTATATTGTTTAGATTTTCTGGAGTTAGATTCATGTCTTTCAAACAATGTTTGTTGTGAAGGAAACATTCAGGTAAGTCTTTACTGGGTGTTTTTTAAATGTGTAAGAGGAAACCAGGGTGTTAGGCGAACGTGGAATGAATAAGAAAACCTGATGAATCTTCTATGCAATGTTTTTCATTGTGATTTTCCAGGAAGGAGCAGAGACTAAAACCCTCAAGTCAATACGTTTTGCTTGCAAAAACACAGCAGCGAAATGGACTCTGGAATAATATAGCCCTGCCCTGATTGGACAGAGACAATTTGAGTATTTTTTTGGGGGATAGATTTTCTTCAGAAACTGGTGAATATTTCTTATAAACAATGTCTTTCCTTAAAAAACAAAAGCAGACCATGTTTTTTTGTTCATTTTTGTTCATAAATGTGTCTAAAATTAAGTGAAACATAAGATAAAGCAGCACATGTCATACATGTTTGACTCTATGTGGAACATAGAACACATTTCAAGACTAAAATCAAAAGTTTCTGTATCGGAAAATGCTTTCAAGTGAGTTCATAACAGCTTAAACTTCTCACTTATTATCACAAACAGTTACAAACTTCAATATTTAATTGAGATTTTATGTGAACCAACAATTTATTAATGTCAACATAGAATGGTTCATTCAAATGCTTGGATTTTATTTGGTATCAGATTTTACTCGTGTTTGTCCTACGTACGCTATATCAGCTATAATTGGTGTGACATTATATGAATAAATGACATCAAATTAACAGATTTTCTTCCAGGATTTCCCTGTCTTGAGCTCCATTAATCTTTCTATCAAAGCTAAATAGCCATCCTGTAGCAGCATCATACTTTGAGGATACTAAATAAATGCATGCTCACGGCATGATGCTGCCAGTCCCATGGGGATAGTGTGATCAGGGCAAAGTGCAACTTTAGTTTTTCATCACACATTCTGTAGTTTCTTGAATGTAGGTCAAAAAGATAATGAGTCCTATTTCATTAGAGCACCTCTGCATGGATTGGAACAAACAGCCTAGTGATGTTTTTTTATTGCTTCCCCTTTGCCCCTCTTCCATCAATAACAGTTTTCCAAAGTGCATGGTTAGAAGCTGTTTTTTTTGTTTCCCAACAGAGTATCAGCTGTTCATCTTTAAGCTGCTTCAAAGTTACCATAAGCCTCTTGGATGTTTCTGTGAATATGGCCTAGACTTTATCTTAGCAT